TAGTTCATCTTCTTCTTCAGAAGAAGATTCCTCAGAGCTTTCTTCATTTACCTGCAAAGCTTTAACAGATTTGTTAGATTTAAAAGCTAAGGATTTACCTTTATCTTTCTTCTGGGGTTCATCTTCCTCCAGCTCAATCTCATGACTTCTCAAAGAACTGATGAGTTCTTCTAATGAGATTTTGTTCAGATCCTTGGCCAGCTTCAATGCAGTCACCATAGGTCTCCATCTGGTAGGAAGACTTCTGATGATCTTCTTGACATGATCAGATGTTGAGTAGCCCTTGTCCAGAACTTTCAACCCAGCTGTTAGAATCTGAAATCTGGAAAACATAGTCTCAATGTTCTCAGATTCTTCCATCTTGAACGCTTCATACTTCTGTATCAGCGCCAGAGCCTTTGTTTCTTTCACCTGAGAGTTTCCCTCATGAGTCATTTTGAGAGACTCAAACATATCATGAGCAGTGTCTCTGTTGGTAATCTTCTCATACTCTGTATGAGAGATTGCATTAAGAAGTATGGTTCTGGCTTTGTGATGATTCTTGAATTCTTTCTTCTGCTCCTCAGTCATTGATTTTCTATCAATCTTTTTGCCATCCTTAGTAGGATGTTCATATCCATCAATGACTAAATCCCAGAGATCAGCATCATACCCCAAGAAAAAACTTTCAAGTCTATCTTTCCAATAATCAAATTTTTCTCCATCAAACATTGGAGGTTTGGTGCTGATTCTGTCTCCTTCATATTTGTTGCTTGATGTAGGAATATCACCCATATTAGCAACCAAATAAATAACAGAGTATTCTTCTCACTGGATCTTTATCTGTCACGGTTAAGTGAATGCACACTCAGAACCGGAGCTCTGATGCCAACTGAAGGTGAGAAAATACTTAGAAGGGGGGGTTGAATAAGTATGACAGAAAATAATCAAAGATAAAAACTCAAGTATTTTTATCCTGGTTCGTTGAACTCAACTACTCCAGTCCACCCTTTTCAAGAGTGATTTGCCTTTCTCAACAAGGACTTAATCCACTATTCAAATCAACTGATTACAAATAGCAACACCTAAGAACAACTGTTCTTAGTCTTCTCAAGAGCTACTGATCTAACCTAGATCCTCTTAAGGAAAACTTCCTTTACAAATTAATGTAATACAATGTAAGAGTAATAAATTGCTTCTAAGAAAGCTATAAACACAACTGTGTTATTTCTCTAAGTTTAGAACAATGTATGAACAGCAAAGAATATGAGAGCTTGAGAGTTTTTCGCGTGAGAGTGTTCTTGCAATTAATTTCGTCACATGAAGAATGAGCTATGATTTCCTTTATATAGCCACTTGAATATTGGAGAGAATATTTTACCGTTGGAGAAGATATTTCCAATATCAAATAGTACTGTCCTTTGTACTATTGCAGCAGAGAGACGGCGCACAAATAGTGGGTGTAGCAATTGTCTGCTGAGCTGTGATTATACCATATATGGAATGTATCAGAGGAATAATCTTCTTACAGAGAATTTTGTCTATCCCAATTAAGGAAAGATTTGCTGGCATATTCCAACGGATATATTAAAATAATCTTCTTCAAATAATTCTTCAGATAGTTCAGATCAACAATCAATATCAGAGTCTTCAGTCTTCAGAATCTTCTGGAAACTTCAGAGCCTAAGATGTTCTTCAGATGTTGATGAATCAGAGTCTGGTGCAGCTGTGTGCTTGAAGCGTAACATGCTCTTAGATCAGAGTCTTCACTCAGATCAGAGTTTTCTCTCATTCAGAGTCTCTTCACTCAGAGTCTTCTTTCATTCAGATTCTTGATAATATATGCAGCGTGTTGTATCTTCAGAATCTTGATGACTAAGCTCTTATACTTCAGATTCTTCTAATCTTCAGATGCTCTTGAGCCATTCAGAATTTATTGTTCACATCAAATTTGCTCTTTAAGATTAAAATCTTTTGTGCCTGTAGAAAACAGTTTAGAACAAATTTAGAGAGTATAATTCTTGTATACAAATTATCATTAATGTTATCATCAAAACATAGAGATATTACTAAGACACAATCTGTGCTCTTACAATAACCACCACAAATGTAAAGAAGAGGGTTGTAGGAAATGGTCTTTGCATCGTCTTAAGAGAAGGCCTTACATACTTGGATGGTCGCCAAGCATGCCTTTGTTGTTCTTAAGGCAAAGTCCCTACGTGTTTGATTGTATTGTTGTGGGGTGGAGATTATATCTCACTTAAGATGATTAACATCTATTCTCTAAATATGTTTGTAAAAGTTGTGTAATGTTGATTGTGTTGTTTCTATGTTGTAAAGATAAAGACAAGGTCCTTCCTATGGGGTAGGTCCTAAACTTAAGTGATCAACTTGAAGAATCAAGGATCGAGGGGAATATGATGCATATGATTTGCAACTACACACAACGTTGAATTATGTGTAGGTTTTTCCTTTGGACGGAATGTAATGAATGGATATAAATTGATAATGTAAATGAATTGCGGTAATGTAAATTGCAGAAAGATAAACCATACACGAACGCATGAAAGCGCTAGGTGAGTGTGTGTGCATTGTGAATAAGATAAAGCAGATAAAGATAAATAGTGTATACGCATGAAAGCGCTGAGTGTAGGTGCATGTGTCGTGAAGTGATTGCGCACGATGTTGATTGATTTTAACTGTTCGACTTGTTTTGGTTTGGATAAAAAGTTGATTTGATTTAATGAGGAAAAAGTTGAGTTGATTTAATGAGGTTGATTGACAGGAGAAGTTAGATTAATTTTAAATCCTAAGGGTTTTTTATGTATCACAATGATTTACTTTATTATAAAAAAAAGGAGTGATTATTTAGATTGAATTATATTAATTGTGAAAGGTTATTTTATTAATTATCACTAAATAGATTTTATTATTAAAAGTGAATAAATATTTTATCAAAATGTTGCTAGGACAAAAGGGGTAATCATTTAATTATCAAGATATTTAAAAAAAGAAAAAAGTTTTATTATCTTGCTATTAAGATAAAAGATTATAAATTATTAAATAGGTTAATTAGAAAAAGGTGAGGCTAATTATTATTATTATTTTTTTTTATAAAATAAAGAGAAATTGATTACCGGGTTATTATTAATAAAAAAGTAAAAGGATTTAATTGATTTAATTCTAATTATTCTAGAAGTTGTTTTTTAAGTGTGAAATAATTTTAGAGAAAAACATATATTGTTGTTTATTTAGAAAGTAAATTAAAAAAATTAATTACGGTTGATTTGGAAAAAGAACTGTTAGTTTGATTTTTAAAGAAAGGATTAAGGTGTTTAGTTATACCGTGAATAAGAACTAATTAAATGATTAGTTAGGGTGATTAAGCGTATGGTGAGGGTGTAGTGTCTGTGTGTGTATGGTGATTAGTGAATTACAATAATCACAAAACAAAAAAACCAGAGAAAACCCTAAATTGGTTCCTCTTCTCCCTCGAGCTCGCCGTTCTCACTCTCTTCTTCTCATCCTTTCTCTCGATTTTTCTCATCATTTCTCCACGATTCCTCCGATTCTCCCCTTTCTTTCGAACCTGAAACACAATAAACAAATCAACAAGTTCAAAGCTTTTGCAAGATAATGAGAGGTTACCGAAGATTGGTGAAGCGGTGGTTGGAGGCGGAGGCGTCGATGGATTTCGCGGTGATGGATGCGAGGGTTTGGTCCGTCAAATCTGCGGCGGATGATTGAGAGAGATAAGTTTCCTCACTTTTTAGGGTTTTGATTTAGGATTTCGTATGGGGTTTTTTCTCTGTGTTATTGACTTCGTCCTCTTTTCCTTCTCCCTTCATCTCTTTATATATGCTTCACCACCTGATTGAATTTGATTAAATCCGGTTGAATGCTTGATTTGGGATTTCCAATTTGGGACCAATCATGTTTGAAAACTTTCCTCTTTTTAACCGATTGTAGTAATGATCCAATTAAATGACATTCCAATCTTGTGATTTTCTTTAATTCGGAAATTGGATTCGATTTGGTTCTGAATAGCATATCCTATCTTCAGAGAATATCCTCTAACCGTTACTTTCTGATGTGGCAGGTACAGGTGGAGAAGGTCTTGGGCTTCATCATTGCTTGCCTGATTATATGGTAACTCCCTTTCTGCAATTGGTTTCTCGTCGTGCAGGTGATATAGCCGCTTACTCACAAATAGTTTTGACATTCAGTTGTTTTGAAACGCAGTAAAGGTTAATAACATAAGGTAGCTGTTTTGTTGTATGCTGGTTTGTCGTTGTGTTCAATATCTTTACAAACATATCTACACACCCTCTTCTTGCGCAGGATTTCTAGTTTGTTCAAGCTGTGGTGGCATCGCGCTGCGAAAATCTCATGAACTGTTCCACGGGTCTGAAGACATTCAAGCCTTATGCCTTAGTGAGATTACGGCACTCGTTCTACGGCGAAGTTGATAGGGGTATGAAGGGAACTGTGATACATTCTTGTGATAATATATCCAACATATCACTCATATGATTGTTCAAGCTGTTCACGACTTAAGCAACAGATCCTTCAGTTGAAGCATAAGCAAATACCTGTGTAGAAGGTAAACTCTTACTGGTAGCTGATTTTGCTGAAGAATTATGTGGGATTGCCGCGGTTAATTCTGAGTTTGAACTTAATTTCCATGTTCTGCAGTAACTTGGGGTGGTAGAGCTGCCATTGGTAGCACTTCCAGTAAGGTATATTTATAATGGTGGTTTGAACTCAACTACGCAAACTCTGCTGAATCAACCATGAATAATTGGGACATTGTGAGGGGGGATTGCTGCTCCGTAATTGGTGAGACGAATCTTGATTTGTTATCTTTGTAACTCTGTGGTGAGACGAATCTTGATTACTTGTTATGATTAATTCGGAACTTGCTTTTTTTGTTTTGAAGGCACTTGACATCTTGGCTTCTTTTACGGGGATGCGGTTCAGAAGCGGATGCCTCTTCTCATGCCATGCTGCTACGAGAATGAATGAATGGGATTGAGCAAACTGGAGCGAGGTTGTCGAGGCGCACCCTACATGAATTGCCATTACCTCTATTATTTCTGTAACGTTGATTTTAGAAGTATGAAGTTGGTTATGATACGATTCACCGCTAACATCGTTATCATCTGTGACAGGTATTGGCCGGTATTTCAACGGTTCAAAGTGTTAGCGTCTCTCCGAGAGCTTCGTGAGATTCACAGCGAGTTCAAGGTCGATATTGAGGTCGCGGTTCGAAGCCATGGAACTGACTTGTTTGCAGAACTGTTTGATGGAGGGGCCTCGATGCCTAGGGAAATTATCAATGCGCCTATCTCCTCATTGTGATATTCTGATGTTTGTTGGCTGTTAGTCCAGTTTAATAACCGTTTTGCCTTCACAAATAGCACATGACGTTGTAATCTCTGAAAGGGGATGGATGCTTGATTTAAGACTGTGGATTTAGTGGGGTCAACCAGCTTCACGTTGTTTGATTCACACCATTTTGCAATTAGTGCCTTTACAGTGTAGCTAGGTATTTAGATTGGTGTGAGCCAGACTCTGATGGGTCTTTGTAACATTGATTGTAAGCTCATGCGGTAGTGCTTAAGTTTATTGCTTGAAAACAATATATCCCTTGTAATAATGAAAAACGTATTTGTGAAAATAGACTTTCATGCTTTCCTGTTTAGTCTTTGAATGGTAGAAGCTCAAGTATGAATTGTGTTTATGATTGATGAATTTGAGCTGCCATTGAATTATTGATCGATCAAGAAACAACGAGTTCTTCTCTGGTTTCTTCAAAATCATAAACTTTCAATTGTAATCTTTGGATAATAAAAAGAATGCTTGCCAATCAATTGTATGCGGTTAGCTTTCGAAAGCGTAAAAAACGTGTAGTAGTAGTTATCCATTTTTCAGTTGTCAATTGGGTGATGCCAGCTTCCACGTTGCCTTAGCTTTCCCACACAAACCACTCATGCACTTGTTTTGGATTTTGATCTCATCGCATGAAACTTATAACCTGATCTTGAATTTTATAGAGATAACGAGCCAACGTCCTGAGGAGTATGGGACCTGAACCAAACTTTAGAATGGATTTTCTAAACTCATCTCATATTCTCTGAGGTCAAATAAAACATCCCAAAGATCCAGACAATTCTCGAATAGACATCTTTGGGACCAGATAGGTGTGACTCCTTAGAGAAAATCTGTTTTGTACTAGCTTCACAAAATAAAACAAATAAAACGGTGGACCAAGGTTAGCTATGTGTGGATGATTGATCATGAGAACGAACGCTATCTCCACTCGATATTACTGCGTCTGCACAAGAATTGGTTAGTCACATAAATATAAATATTAAAATAAAGTCGAAAAACAATAGAAAACGAAAGGGTATCTTATGGTCAAAAATTAGGGTGCAACAGCCAGTAGAACCTTAGATCCTGCCCAAATGAACTACGCTACCACAGAAAAGGAACTTCTAGCAGTTATATTTGCGCTTGACAAATTCCGTTCTTACCTAGTAGGAGCAAAAATTATAATATACACAGACCACGCTGCCATAAGGTACCTAATAAGCAAAAAGGATGCCAAACCAAGACTATTGAGATGGATCCTGTTATTACAAGAGTTTGACTTAGAAATCAAAGATAAGAAAGGAACCGAGAACGTTGTTGCGGATCACTTATCCCGAATAGAAGGCATCAGACACGAACCAGTACCGATAAATGACGATTTCCCGTACGAACGTCTGATAGCCAAATTAGAAAGTGACACACCCAATGTAATCTCGGAAGATCCAGAATTCGAAAAAGCCGTAGAAGTCGTCTATGCCCAAGTCACATTACCTTGGTATGCTGACATCGTTAATTACCTCGCTGCGGGCGTGCTTCCACCAGATCTTACTTATCAGCAAAAGAAGAAATTCTTCCACGATCTAAAACACTATTATTAAGACGAACCCCTACTCTTCAAGAGAGGGGCCGACAACATATATCGTCGTTGTGTCCCAGAGGAAGAAATAGAAAATATTATTTCCCAATGCCACTCAGCACCATATGGTGGTCATGCTAGTACGTCCAAGACGTGCGCTAAGATTCTCCAAGCCGACCTATTCTGGCCTAATCTCTGGAAAGACGTTCACATCGTTGTGCAAAAGTGCGATAGATGCCAACGAACTGGTAACATCTCACGACGCGATGAAATGCCTCAGAAAGGAATCTTAGAGGTAGAAATCTTCGACGTCTGGGGAATAGATTTCATGGGACCTTTCCCTCCTTCTTTTGGAAATAACTACATACTCGTCGCTGTCGATTACGTATCTAAATGGATAGAAGCCATAGCTGCTCCAACAAACGACGCACGAGTAGTAATCAAACTCTTCAAGAACACAATCTTTCCTAGATTCGGTGTACCCAGACTCGTCATTAGTGACGGAGGATCTCACTTCATATCACGAATATTCGATAAACTTCTTTCTAGATATGGAGTCAGGCACCGAGTAGCTACACCTTATCATCCGCAAACCAGCGGACAAGTAGAGGTCTCGAACAGAGAAATAAAACAGATCTTGGAAAAGACTGTCGCTACCTCGAGAAAAGATTGGTCATCAAAACTACGAGAGGCTTTATGGGCCTATAGGACCACATTTAAGACACCAATAGGTACTACCCCCTATAAATTAGTTTACGGTAAATCCTGCCATCTCCCTGTAGAGTTAGAGCACAAGGCCTTTTGGGCCATTAAAACACTCAACTTCAACTACACCGAGGCAGGAGAAAAGCGAATCTTGAACTTACACGAGTTGGAAGAACTTCGATTAGACGCTTACGAAAATGCCCGTATCTACAAAGAACGAACTAAAAAGTGGCATGATAAACGTTCAATCAGGAAACAATTCAGTGTGGGAGACATCGTATTGCTCTTCAATTCACGATTAAAACTCTTCCCAGGAAAACTAAAATCTAGGTGGTCTGGACCCTATGAAGTGACTAAAGTACTTCAGAGTGGAGCTGTCGAAATTACCGATAAGACGAATGCACCATTCATCGTAAACGGGCAACGTCTAAAACATTACAATAAGAACGACAATAGTCCTCAAGTCAGCAATATAACATTGCTTGAGCTTCCAGCTCAGACACCCAAATAGCTTCTCACCAAGCTATCGTCAGGCTTTAGACGTTAAAAACAGCGCTTACTGGGAGGCAACCCAAATTTCCCTCGTCATTGCATTTCATTTTTCCTTAAAATTCTACTTTGAAAAATCCAACAAAAATCCTAAAATTACTACTACTTTCTACTTTCGTTCATTTTTGTACTTTTATTCTTATTTTATTTTTTCCCCTTTTGTCTTTTGTTTCTACCACTTTTCGTTTCTAAAAATCCTGACTTCAATTTCTTGTTTTAAACTTTTCAGGATTTTTAAAGCCTTCAAAACATTATTTTTGTTTTCTCCGAATTACCTGTGAGTATGGCCGAGTACGATTTCACAAAGGTTCACTTCAGAGGACTCGCTCAAAAGGCAAGATTTGCAGCACTGACCGAAAGAGAATTCGCCTTAACGCTGTATTATGATAAGGCTACTATGGATAAACTAGGAATCACGGATATCATTCAATACCTGTTCAATCAACTGGGTTGGGAGAACATTGTTCTGAAAACACGTTTCGCTACCTACAAGGATCTTACCTATGAATTCCTTAGTTCCTTCAGATATACACCCAACTATGGTTTTGGATCCAGCACAGAGTTGATTACCTTCCGATTGTTTGGAATGGACCAAACCCATAGCCGGATGTCACTAGCTAACCTCCTAGGATTCCCTAGCGGACCGCATGTGTTCATCAATGCAGAAGATGACGATATTGATTTGCAACTCGATCACTTCTGGGGTAGAATCACAGGCGACTATCACCCTGAACCAGACAAAATGTACAATGATGACATTCATAACCCCGCCTTCAGATACTTCCATAAGATACTAGCTCACACCTTGTTTGGAAAAGAAGAAAATATTACCACAGTGTCTAAGGAAGAGTTATTCATCATGTTCTGTGCTTCTCAGGGACGGACAGTAAACGCAATGCCTTTCATGATGAGATCCTTCAAACGCCTCACGCTGGAACCTTAGACACCTATTCTTATAGGAGGACTAGTAACAATGATTGCCCACGAGCTTGGCCTTAGATTCCATTTAAATGCCAACACTCATTTTGGTACCATCAGACCCATGAACATACAATTCTGCTTTAACAGGCGCATCTTAGGGACTATGGGACCTGGACCGTATGAGTACCTTATTAACAAAAAACCAGTACAGCTATTCACACTGCCTGATCATCTGATGACAAGCATCCACAACAAGGATAACTGGCTCTACGAATTGGATGAGCCTATGGGACCTCCTTCACCACAGTTAACACCCCAGAACTATATGTATGACAGTGACCACATCTCTGAGGCACACGACTACATGTACTATGAGGACGCCGCCTCTGAAACTGAAGTAGACCCTATGACTCCTCCACACTATAATACTTATCCTGAGCCTATCCCTGAGGAAACCACCGACAAAATGGATGCCGTGTTACTCAGATTGGACGACGTTGATAAAGCTCTGACTAATGTAAAAGCTGATATCGCAGGCATACACAGCGAACTGGTAGGCTTCATGGATCTAGTCTGCGACCAACTCGACTACTATTCACAAAAATTCGATGAGTTGAAGGCACGAAAAGATTAGTTATTAGCTCATAGCAGTAGTTTCAGTTTAGTCTAGTCTAGTTTAGTTTCATTTAATCGTTTGGATTTTTCGCATTGTTAGTTTTCATTATGTACTACATACAATTGTTTCCATTTTATGTTATTTCAATTCTAGTTTTTATTCAATTATTCTGTTTTCGCATTATTTGTTGTTTGTTGGCTGTTATATTACGTCACCGTATCAATACTAAGCTTTAAAATCACCACGAGTACGCCCTCAGAGCAAAATTCCGCGTTCTGCAGATTTTGCTGCTGTGACGACCGTCACAGCCCCATGACGACCGTCACGCAGTCCAGAACTGCTATCTGATATTACAGGGTTTGTGTTCCCTTCCACTCCCCCCATTATCACTTTCAAACTTCCAAAATTCATACCCCACTACGATTTTCGTCCTTCCCACATTGAACTATAAACCTCAACTCCAAATTCAACCTCCAAACCACCGTTCTGTCATTTTTCCCTCTCTGCCAAAAAACCCCAAAACCTCTGAAACCTCTCCATCTTCAACAATGGCCGGAAACGCAGATGTCAGCAACATTTCCTTCCCTGAGGGCGAGTTAGGCGACAGACAACGAGCACAGT